CAGCTACTTGGGAGGCTGAGGCAGGAGACTCGCTTGAGGCCAGGAGTCGGAGGTTGCTGTGAGCTGTGATGCCACAGCACTCTACCCAGGGGTACAACTTGAGGCTCTGTCTCAAAAAAAAAAGAAGAAGAAAATGAAAACCTGGGCTCTACACCCATAGCACAGTAGTTACAGCACTGGTTGTAATACACCGAGGATGGCAGGTTTGAACCTGGCCCGGGACTGCTGAACAATGACAAGTTCAACAAAAAAATAGCCAGATGCTGTGGCAGGCGCCTGTAGTCCCAGCTACTTGGGAGGGTGAGGCAAGAGAATCACTTAAGCCCAAGTTTGAGGTTACTGTGAGCTGTGACGCCATAGCACTCTAAGGGCGACACAGTTGAGACCCTGTCTCAAAAAAAAAATGGAAACCTGACTTTAACCTTGTTATAAAGTAATACCCATCTATCCCACACTTAAAATTCTGAGCATAGGCACTCCCCAAGTTAAATGTCCAACTGACATACAAACTCACACTTAGAAGAAGCCATTATAGGTATTAAGTAAACATACCTGTTCCAACTTACATACAAATTCAACTTAACGAACCTACAGAACCTATGTCATTCATAACTCAGAGGCTGCCTATAAAAACCAAAGCAACAATGTGCACAACATAAACAGACAATAATTCTTTTTTTCACCCCATGGTCTTCCTTCTGGAAGACACAAACAAGTAATTCCAAGAGGAAAGTTTAACAAAGCGCTAAACATTTAGAGACAAAAAACTGAAAGGTTTTGTAATACTTACCCACTCCTCAACGTTGGGGGGCTGCTCATCATAAACGTGTTCCTTGTCCCATAAAATATTTGACTTGTCATAGCGGTCCATCTTTCTTCGAGTTTTCACAGCAAAGAAAATTATTAAAGCAAAAGCCACAATAACCAAGAACCCCAGTACAATGGCAATGGCCTAAGAACGGATTAGAGATAGTGGCAGAATTAGAATTTAGTTGCTTAATCACAACCCACCCTCCACAAATTACTAAAATACTTATCCATTTAAGGCCCTACTCTCAGGGCCCAGGATGCCAGGACGTCGGCCTCAGCCTATGAAACTGTCTAGACTCAGACCTGCGCTGCGCTACCTTACTCGGGATCAACTCCTCTTAGGTGCCTGAGGGTTATTCATCTTAGCAAAAGGGGGAGAGAGAGAAACAATCTTTGAGGGAGAGAAACAGTCTTATTAGGAGAGCGAATCTTAGCAGTCTTGGTAGAAGGCTGCCAGGCAGACACCCTCCGAGCAGGAGGAAAGAGTCAGAGTGACTGAGTCTGTGAAAGAATGAACCTGGATTAACCTCGCCTGCAGCTACTTAGAGACATGATCCTGTGGCTATTTACACCATAGGTGTGGAGACTGCCAAGCACTGATGCTCGTGCTCTCAAGCTCTCATATTAAGGAGAGCTGAATCCCTTCCCCATGCCCTTATCACCCAGGTGCTGTATTACTGAGCTATTGTACCACAGGTGTTTCTTATAGTCACAGAGCATTCAAAGCTTAACTCTCCTTTCTCCTTTCCTTAAACTACATGGTCTCCTACACCATACTACTAAATATCTGTAGTTGAACTGATAGAAAACTGAAGCAGATTTTACACACAGCATAAAAACCAACCCACACAAAACACATGCACACACAACACAATATTTGACTTGACATGAGCTACAATACTGTAGCTCAAGCAGCTAAGGTGCCAGCCACAGAGGTTAGCCTGGTCCAGAGAGTTTAGTCCACGCTCATTCTTCAGAACATGCTTAAAAACTTAGGTGCCACCATAACCCAATTTCAGAGACACAGAAAACTAGCTCCAAAGCTTGTGCACTTTCTACAAAAAAGGACCTCCCTATAAACAGGTGAGAACAGCCAGTAAATTAACTTATTAACTGGTATCGTTCTCAAGTGCTTGAAAATTACTATTCTCAAAAGTTTTAAAATAGACAATCATACTTATAAATCTTGTTCATAATACATGCTTAGCAAATCTTTTTACACTGAATGTAAATTTCTGTCTCCAGATATGTCTTACCATAAATGATGAAACAGGGATGTAACCAAGCTGTAAACAGCAGCAAATGGACTAACAATTCATTTGGTCTGACAGGTTTCTTTGTTTTAGGAGTCATCTGTACTTACTAGGAAGGTCTCTGTAACAAGGAAACTTCCTACTCTTAACAGTTCTTCCAGTATCTAATAGGTATATTAGTGATATACTGGCCTAGGAGGCACTTGAACTTGAGGCAGGTGGCAGGCCTATGCCCTGTCTGCTAACAAGTATAAGGAAGCTCTCCTTCCAGCTGTCTCACATGGACATCCTTTTTCATCGAATACAGGTTTCAAGTAATCAGAGGACTAAGAGAAACAGGGGAGTAGGAAAATAGGCATAACAACTCTCAGTCCCTATTTACCATGGGATGAATAGTCTGAATGGCAAAAAGAATTCTAAAAACCTACATCTCCAGGGAAAACTTTCAGTCTTCAGAAAAATGGTAGACAGTTATCACAGGTCTAACCGAGCAAAAGTGACTCATTAAGTTAAAAGAATGGAAATTCCTGGCATGGCACCTGTAGCTCAAGCAGCTAAGGTGCCAGCCACATACACCAAAGCTGGCAGGTTTGAATCCAGCCCAGACAGACGCCTATAGTCCCAGCTACTTGGGAGGCTGAGGCAAGAGAATCACTACAGCCCAAGAGTTGGAGGCTGCTGTGAGCTGTGATGGCTTGAGGTGCTGTCTCAAAAAAAAAAAAAAAGAATGGAAATTCCTGAGTCAATGTAAGAAGAAAAAAAAGAAAAATAGATTAGCATAACTCAGAAATGTTTCAGCTGTTAATATAATTAGGCTGACTCATGGTTACTAAAGGTTTCTCAGCCTCATCTACACATCTGAATCACCTGCATAGCTTTTAAAAATACTGACTTAATACTCTAAAAATTATTTACAAAACACTTTTGAAAAAAAGTTAAAGACCTACATAAATTGAGAGACAGCCTATGTCCATGGGTTAGAAGACATATAATATACATATTATAAAGATGACAATATGCCCACAATTGACCTACAAATCCAACATCATCATTAAAAGTCCTACCTGGCTTTTTTGCAAAAACTGGTAATTTTCATCCCAAAATTCATGTGAAAATTCAAGAAACCCAGAATCTAGCCAAAATAGTTTTTTTTTTATATTTTTATTTTTAGAGACAGAGTCTCATTTTATCACCTTCAGTAGAGTGCTGTACTGTCACAGCTCACAGCAACCTCAAACTCCTCGGCTTAAGTGATTCTCTTCCTTCAGCCTTCCAAGTACCTGGGACTACAGGTGCCCACCACAATGCCCAGCTATGTTTTTTTTGTTTTTTTTTTTTTTTTTGGTTGTAGTTCTCATTATTTGGCAGGCCCAGGCTGCATTCAAACACATCAGCTCTGGTGTATGTGGCTGTCGCCTTAGCCACTTGAGCTACAGGCGCTGAGCCCTGGATATTTTTTTTGTTGGTGCAGTTTGGCCAGGGCCGGGTTCAAACCTGCCATCCTTCGGTATATGGGGCCAGTGCCTTACCCACTGAGCCACAGGTGCCACCCATAGCCAAAATAGTTTTGAAGAACAAGGTTGGAGAACTCCCACTCTACTATTTCAAAACTTACTACAAAGCTATAGAATAATGACAGTGTGATACTAGCATAAAAATAGAAATACAGGCCAGGAATGGTGGCTGACACCTGTAATCCCAGGACACTGGGAAGCCGAGGCAGGTGAATTGCTTGGGCTCAGGAGCTCAAGATCAGCCTGAGCAAGAGTGAGACCCCAACTCTACTAAAAATAGAAAAACTAGCCAGGCATTTGTGGCAGGCACCTGTAGTCCCAGCTACTTGTGAGGGTGAGGCAAGAGGATCACTTGAGCCCAAGAGTTCGAGGTTGCTGTAAGCTATGGTAACACCACAGCAGTCTACCAGGGTGACTGGGTAGAGTTTGTCTTTAAAAAAAAAAAAAGAACAGACAACTGCATATTCATATGCAATATCTTTTGGACTGCCCATACCCAAAATTAACTCAAAACCGATCATGGACCTAACTGTAAGAACTAATATCATAAAATTCTTAGAAAACATATATCTCTGTGACCTCGAATTAGGCAAAGCATTCTTAGATATGACACTAAAACAAGCAACAAAAGAAAAATTAAGGCTTGGTGCCTGTGGCTCAAGTGGCTAGGGCGCCAGCCACATACACCTAAGGTGGTGGGTTCGAATCCAGCCCGGGCCCGCCAAACAACAATGACAGCTGCAACCAAAAAATAGCTGGGCGTTGTGGCAGGCGCCTGTGGTCCCAGCTACTTGGGAGGCTGAGGCAGGAGACTCTCTTGAACCCAGGAGTTGGAGGTTGCTATAAGCTGTGATGCCACAGCACTCTACCCAGGGGGACAGCTTGAGGCTGTCTCGAAAGAAAGAAAAATTAAATAAATTGGGCATCAATAAAACTAAAAACTTTTGTGCAAAGGACACCATCAAGAAAGCAAACCAGGGGGTGATGCCTGCGGCTCAAAGGAGTAGGGCGCTAGCCCCATATGCTGGAGGTGGTGGGTTCAAACCCAGCCCCCGCCAAAAACTGCAAAAAAAAAAAGAAAGCAGACCAGGCACAGTGGGTCCTGCCAGTGCATTCTGGGAGGACCAGATGGAAGGATCACTCATGAGTTTGAGACCAGCATGACCAAGAATGAGACCCCATCTCTACTAAAAACAGAAAAACTAGCCAGGCATTGTGGCATGTGCCTGTAGTCCCAGGTACTTTTGAGGATAATTGCTTGAAGGCAGGATAATTGCTTGAACCCAGGAGTTTGACATTGCTATAAACTAGGCTGAAAAAAGTGAAATGATAGAAAAAAAATTAGCTGGGCATAGTGGCATGTGCTTGTGGTCCTAGCTACTTAGAAAAGCTGAGGCAGGCTCGGCGTCTATAGCTCAACCGGATAAAGTGCCAGCCACGTACACCTAAGGTGGCGGGTTCAAAACCAGCCCAGACCGCCAAACATCAATGACGGCTGCAACCAAAAAATAGCCGGGCGTTGTGGCGGGCGCCTGTGGTCCCAGCTACTTGGGAGGCGGAGGCAGGAGACTCGCTTGA